ATTGGAAGCTTATTATAAAGTGCTTATTTTCAACAGTCTTTTCTTCTTGTGTTTGAAATTCTCTTGATATTTCATGACCTAAATAGAAACAAAATAAAATAAATTTAAAATATTTAATTTCTTATTATAGTTTGCAACCATTAAATGGAAATCTGGAATAAGAGTCTCCGTTGCGTATATTTTAAATATAAAGTAGTCCCTTATTTAAGGTTTCCATTCGATTACAGTAAAATTATTTACCAAATGAAGAAATCAGGCACTTGTATGATAAAATATTACATTGTAATATCATTTCTTCTTTCTTCTATTGGATCAATAGTCACGATTGTGCACATTTACATTTATTTGAGCAATTAAAATATTTGAACTCCGAGCTCGTTCTCGACCATCACGAGTATTTGAGTCAGATGTAGAAGCATTACCACTGCCATTATCATTATTATTGCTGTTGTTGTTGCTGTTGTGGTTGTTGTTGGCAGTACCATCTCCACTTGCATTAGAAGAGGATTCGTTTCTCTGAACTAAGGCTGCATTGGAACTATTTTCTATTTGTTCTATCCCATATTCTGTGATCTCTCCCTGTACTAATTGCCTGAAGATAAATATATAAACATTATAATAATTATATATAATTATTAATAAAAATATAAAATAATTATTAAATAATATAATATTAATATAATATTATTATTAAATAATAATAAATAATTATTAAATATTAGTGTTTCAGATAAAACTAATTAATTATATAGAGCAATAAAAAAATGTTCTTTTAACTTATTCAATATTTTACTTTAATATTGGAAATATTTATAGTAAGAAAATTATTTACTTACGCTGGAGCTAATGCATTGGAATTATCATTAACTGATGATCTTCGAAACGTGGAATGCAATTGTAACGCATTCATACCGTCATGATTGTTATTTAAATTATTTTCATAATTCGGATCGTTTGTGACATAACATGGGGGCTTGAATACGCTCGTATGCACCAGTCTATTTTTATCTTTCAAAATTTTGCTGAATGGCATGTGTAATAAACCCTTCTTACGGTTTATGAAGGGACCTGTAAAACATGTTTTGTATGAGGAAACATGTTAGGCATTCTATAGTCACTGTCGATGTAACATACATTATTTTATGTTACTTATTACCGCGTTATGAACTGCTCGCAGTTAATTCATCGTTCAAGTAGGTAGGTACAGTATACTGTAATAAAATATTTGTATTCTTCGTAAAAGAAAAAAATTAACCGTTTTGATTCACGGTTAGTAATGAAAACAAATATAAGATGTTAAGAAGTGAATAATTATGATAGACAAAGCAAACTACAGTGCTTGTAGTATTTAATTTATGCATTGCTGTCGATTTGTTGAACATTATCTTTTAATTAAAATTTAATAGAATTGATGAACCATTATATATATACGTATAAACATGAACAAACAGACAGCAAGCTATTCTACTGTCTACCTACATATAAGTTGTAAAAAAGGAAACTATATCTTGCATTCTACCTTTATACAAGTGCTGCGCATGTGAAGTAAGACAAGTCGTGTAGTGTAACTGCGAAAAATATTTGCAGAAATATTGAAGAATACTCACTGCTTTCCGGAGGAGCACTTGGTTGCATAGTTTCAAGATCACCGCAAAGTTCAGAATTGTTGTTCTGACGCTTTCTACCTCCTATAAAATAATAAAGATCATGCTACCGCTGCACATTTTCATTAAATATATCGATTTATAATATTTAACATACGTCTTTTCCAGAATATTGCACATAATACAGTCATCACAATAAAGAAGATCACTGATACAACTGACCAACAAATAATCCCAGTATTATTTAATCTGTCACTGCCTGTAGAAATAAAATTAAAAAGAAAATTCATTATATGTTCATGTATTTTTTATATAATAGATCGATAACATTACTTTTTTCTTAATTACTTACCAGGGACAGTGTCAAGGGGGATTATTTTCTTGCATAGGTGAGCCAGTTCTCCCGTTCCAAGTTCTTCTGCGGTATAACTATGGTAATTACATCATAATTAGTAAACACAAACTAACCTCTCCTGTATCTTAAGCATAAATATCTGACGAAGTATCGTTGTTTACATGAAATATTAAAAAAATTACCCGGGCAGACACGGTCCGCATTGCCGTGGATTTTGAGCAGGCTTTTTATTTTCTCGACGGTTGTATCTGCTACATAAAGTATAATTCACGCATTGTCGCGATACTTCATAACAATACTGTTTCTCCGAACAGTCAGAGTCGTCAGCACACAATCCTTCCTCTATCGTACCCTAGAAAAAAAGGTTTTGGTATTAAAGCGAGTAGCATATTTATTCAAAATATATGAAAAATATTTTTAATTTTATTTAGTAATAAAATTGATGTTTCAGTTTCGGTTCAGATTTTAACACAAAATGCTTCCGCGCAAAATTCTTAAATATTCAAACTTTGAATCGGTAATTTCAATTTAAATTATTAAGCATTTTGATAATTTGTATATTTTATAAGCGAATTATTTTTAAAAAAATCAATCTCAATAGTATTAATTATATAATTAATACTATTGAGATTGATTATAATATTATTATAATAAATAATATAATAATAATAATATTATAATAAATAAAATTTTATAATTATATAATTATAAACTTTTATTTTGCGCGCATATATATAAAAGTTAGCTATTTTGTAACGTCAATGTTTATTAAAGATTTTAATCAATAAAGTTCCTCACAAGAGCAATCGAAAATATTTGCAATTTAAAAAGTACATAAGTATCAAGTTTTCAAATATACATATACTAGATTAGCAAGTTGATTCATTACATTTTTATAATTTTATAAATCGTGAAAAATCTCATTTTCAATATGTTAATTATACATATGCAATGAAAGAGCTGTTTGTAATAAACAACGTGGCTGCTTCTATCAATTATTTTGATAAGAAAATTGTTTATAAAACGTAATTATAGTACATTGATCCGAACGAAATGATCCAAGGTTCAAAAGCATGAGCAAGCGAATTTCGATGTCTCGAAGAGCCGCCATTTTGTGGAACGCGGTCGTCCGCCATTCGAGTACAAATCCCGATCCCGATCATAAAATAGTTACTACTTATAATAGCAAAAATTAATTTCAATGGTCGTTATTTTAACCGTTATAAACGTTCATCTATCCTGCGCATAAATTATTCTTTCTAATTAACAGGAAAATATTCGTCAATTATCGATACACGGTCAATAGCACAGCGAATAATTACCCGCTGAATTTTTTTTTTTTTTTCATAAACTGCAAAAATTATCTTTATTTTATACGCGCAATACATTCTTAATTTCACATCTAATTATGTACACCGCGATTATTATGTCTACATGAACGTAACACAGGCTTTTGTACTTTTAAAATTAAATCGCTAAGAAATATTATTTTTCATCGTATATTTAATTGTTGTTAAATCTATCCTTCAAATTAATCCACAATTTCATATTACATATTATTATTATTCCTCGGGGTTTCTGTTGACATGTAAAAACAGTTCGTAGTAACCACGTGTGACTCAACTACGACGTAAACAAAAATACCACAAAAAGAACAGTGATTCGCCATCTGTCACCGAGCGTACAAGTAACAGCGCACAAAGTATAGAAATAAAATAGATTTACGGAACAGAGTTAAAATGATTAAAATCTGGAAAAATCGAAAACTCTAATTGGCCACGATTCGCTCTCGTATCTGTTTCCATGAGGATGCATATGAAATCTCCTGGTACGGTTGCTGTATGAGTCATCGCAGTGCGACCGCGGGATACCGGGCGATGCGGAGAGCTACCGGAGAATACATTCCGGTTTCTGAATCAAGAGCACCGTTTGATACTCGCTAAAATGGTGCGCATTACACTATTCGAATACCTTAAACCTTTGTTTATCGCATTATCCTAACGAAAATATGAAAAACCACGCGGCACGTTATCGTTAATCACAGTGCTGATATCCAGCATGAAAAATTACGTTTCCTCGTATCCGACAGCACATTATAAATAAAATGCTTTTATTCATATCGATTTCACGGAGAAAATCGGTTTTCAAAATTTTCATGAGAAATGATGAAATCCCCCTGGAAGAGTAAGAGAGAGGGGGGGAAACGGAGGATGGAGAACGAAGATCAAGAACCCCGACAAATTAACTAGAATATGATATATATCCCGCAATGGAAGTATATAACTATTAAAACGCGTGCAATATGCTTTCAGCGATCTTTATTTCATAGTTATTTCTTCAGGGACGTATAGATCGTACTTAATGTTTCAGTTCAATACCTCTTCAATGAGGTCATGAATCTGTACACATATGTGTTCGCATCAACGAAATATCTATTGTTAATTTATTTCAACGAAGCAGTATAGAATCATTGTATCAAATTATTTGAAATTTTTTAGAAGAAATATACGCAAACTCAAAGTTAGGAATGAAGTTTCGTTTGCGACGTAAATCCATATAGATATGTACTTCTTAAGATTTTTGCGGTACACTCACCATTGGAAGAGAGAATTCGGCTGTAAAGGGCCTCCAAATGTGTTTCACAGTTGTGATCGCATATGCGTAATAATTGACTGTGCAAATCTCTCGGTTTCATTAAAACACACTTTCTTGATACGTCAACCCCTTTTCGTGCGGGTCTAGGTCTACTATGGACGCTGGTTCATTCCATACTGAAGCGTGTCTGAACCTGTCGCGAAGACAGGTGATAGGAGAAGGGGGTGGTGGCGGAGTGGGGGAGTCTCGAATCTCGGTACGCGCGAGTAGTGTAAGTATGTACGTATTATACAATTGTGTTCAGTGTGTTGGTTGCGCTATTGTCAGCCCTTGGTCCACCGTAAACCAAAATTCTGCGTAGATAATGTTCCTTGCCTCTATTTAATTCTTAACTTACGTTCATCTAAAAATTAAGTTGACAGTCCTTTCACCACACTGTCAGCATAGTAACAACGAAATACAACGTAAAGGGTCGGATTTTATTTGTAGATAGCACTCGCAACATTCTGTTTATAAACAAATTTACGTTGCTGAACATTAATCGTTAATTAAAAAATATTAATTGTTACGTAAATTGCACACATAAAAATATATTGCAATTGAATATGGGTGCGGCATAGCACACGTATACAGTACACGCGTTACTTTATCAAAATGTTTATGAAAAGTTTAATTCTATACTTTATTTACATGTGCAGATAAGACACAATCGTGCGCGGCGGTATTATCGACACTGTTCGAGACTGTAATTATGATAGCTAGTAACCGCACGCGTGACGTATTGACACTGACACACTGACTTTCCGCAATCAAATTTGCGGATCGCAATAAAGGACACATTTTACCTCCCACGTAACCAGATTATGTTGTGTATAGTTATGATATTCGCTTACTATCTTATACCTTCTCTATGTCTTATTGCTTTTGTATTCTTATTATCGAATCAGTTAACACGTGATGGTTGCCGAGGGTCATTGGGCGACCGGGGTGATTCATATTTCGTACTACCATTATAGAGGTCACAAAGGACCGATACTATATGAAATTAAAATAAAAAAAATTTTTAATTTTTACATTTTCTATCATATCGATATTAACCCTTATCACTCCAACTGGCGGTAATGCTGCCAGGCTTAAGCCAGCCCAGTTCTATTCCATAAAATTCTTGAAGTGATAAAGGTTAATATTATACGTTTCGTGGAATTGAACTGTAAATTTACAAAGGGTAAAAATAACTTGAAGACGAGATTTAATGAAGTAAAAAACATAATGTGTATTTCTTGATTTAGTATATATGTACATACACTGATAAAATGTGAACATTCTTATTTCTATTAATTTACCATACAATAACGAGCCATAACGTAATACTTAAAGTATTAAACACAATTATAGACGTTCTTAGAATATCATAGTAAATCGGTTTTTAAATTACGTCTAGTAAAAGCTAATGTCTATAACTTTTTCTTTTATTTTGCAACGATAACCTTGGAACAAAAAATTTTAAATTCGTACTGCATTTTATTTCTGTTTTCATCTTATTTCTTTTATATTTAAACTGTTACTAATAATAGAAGATTAATTAGTTTCATTTAATTAGCTTAAACTTTAGAAAACAAATTACATTCTTTTTTTTTTACTCTTGTCGAATTTGTAGTAACATATTATAAATTAATCTCAACTGTTCTTCAGTGCAAATATTTATGCATACGATGCCTGCAATGATCATTAACTTTATTCCCACAGAAGTTTAACATTATCACATGCGACTTCTTTCCAACTTGTGAGATCTTTTTTTCTTGTCGAAGGGAAATCGATTAGTGTATGTTGTACAAAAGGCTAACCATATCTTTCAATGTTTCGTCTTTGATATATCCAAATATATGTATTTTCTTTCCATTTTATTCTTCTTTCCAGGTACTACTTCATTCTTCGTGTTACAACTGCATTAGTTCACACAAAATGTTCCAATCAACAGACATTCACATTACTTCCATACTATTATGCGTGCTTTCTGTGAAGCCCAACGTGGATGTTGGTGCATCCTGCGATGTTTCTTCTAACGATTGAGCATCTATTCCTTCCGGTACATTGTTCGTCGTCGTACTTGTACCGTCATCCCAATTAATCTTGAATCTAGTAACACGTGGTTTGTCTCCTAAGATGTTCCGCTGTACTTTGTCGAACTGTGGTTGTGGTGGTGGATTTTCTCTAAGTTCTGCATCTGTGTATTCATTGTTTATGAAGTAGCCGACGCGCACAAATTCGTGTCCCCTGTACGAACAAGTTAACAACACAACCGTAACCCCCAAAGCATCGTTGACCGGTATTCTGCTGACGTCCGGAGGATCGGCCTAAAATAAAATTATTGAATTAAACGTATATTCAAATACCTAGTTCAGCATAAATCTTTACTGTCAACTGCAGATACTACGATATCTTTCGAGTCGGACCAATTTAATGCTTAATTTAATTCTTGCTGCTAGTGTCGTTAATTTACCTGAAATACAAACATATGTCTTCCCTCAGGGATTGGACCAACGTATATCGTGTCTAAAACCTGGTCGAATTCCTCGGATTCAGCGCTGCCGACATAGATCATCTTCCATTCCAAATCTGCAATTACTTTATTATATTAGTAACCATACGAAATTATGTATATTAATAATACAACTAATCGGACGTATCGATTTCGCGTATTAAAACCTACTTAACTAAACATCATTAAGACCCTCCAGAAAGTTTAAAACTAAAAAAAATAATATATTAACGTGTCCTTGGAGGGTATACTACTGGACCGCTTAAACTAACCTAGTATAACGTTCAAAGCACGAAGAAACGTTATTATTTCAATTATTACAGATGCAAGCGTATCTTTCTACTTATAAATAGAAATAACACTTATAAATAGTACCTTCTTTCAGTTCTTCGATGCATTCAAACGTTACTTCAAATTGGAACGGGTTTAAAAACGGCGAAGGATTGTCGAGAACAGCTACATTCGCTAGCTGAACTTTGGCCATCGTTGTTGTTGTTTAACTAAAATTTTCACCGAATGATCCGTACTTAACAATGATTGAATGAATAAATCGTTTCACGTGCCGTAACCCTTGGAGCCGTGTTTCCGAATTAAACTGATATGAAGCGAACGATCTCGAATCAAAAGGTAAGCATTCTAACGCTTGGCACAGGTCGCTTTGGCGGGAACAGAACCGAAAGACATTTCCGGTATTTCGGCCGTTGCTTTCGTGCAAACACAACAAATCAAGAATCGCACTCGTGAACTTGGCGGGACATTTAACTAATGTTTGAGAAATCCTAAACGTAGTTCTCTTAACCGCGTTAATAATCGTTTCAAACGGTAAATAACAAGTTATTTTCACGACCTTCCAAAATTTTGTCGAATACGCTTAACCTGTCTAACTAAATACTCCGGTAGAAGTCAATTTATTTGCTACCAACTACGATAAATCGCGTGATTTTGAAAAATAGAAAAGGAAGTAAAATTAAACGGATCGTTTCATTCGAATAACGTTTTCATTGAATCCAATGGTGTATAAATTGGGATAAATTGCTTGTCCCTGCTTGGCTCGATCCTCCTTAAGGACTGCTTACAATAAAGGAAACTGCAATTGATAGAAACCAGAAATGCTCGGAAGTAAGTTCTTTCGATATATCGTCAACGAAACTTGTTCAATTGCGCAAACGTTGTTTCATTGGTTATAAAGATTACAAGCTTAAATTCGTTTATATTTGCATTTCGATATCGCGAGAAATGGACTAAAAATATTCGTAACCGAAGATCGCTACCAAGGTCATGACACGACCGATCGTCGATACCGAATGATTTTACCGGAAATATCTTAAAAATCGGGGGGGTTTTCTTACGCCCTCTACATAAGCAAATTCTTACCAGCGAACTGTCGGTAACGTTGGTGATCGTACGTCGGTACGTAAAACGGTAGACGTTACAGCTCGGTTATTCTATCGATAGACGGCGGCAGCATGAATATATCTTCGACGGTTCTAGTGCGAAAAATACCCTACTACGTAAATTCCGAATGACCCATAATTCGCCGCCGAGAAGATCCAAGTGACTTCTGTTAAATATCGTGTACAAACAAAAACCGGTGTATTAAACGCGTACAGGTACCGGGGGTCACGACCTTCGTTTTCCGTACACATTTCTCCGGGAGCATTCGGGCTTTGACACACAGTCTCTCGTGCGTCCTTTCCCTTAGACGTCGCGAATCCTTGTTATTCGAGGGTGAGTTCGGCCATGTTGTTGAGTTCGACGACCGGACAAGATATATATTCGTAATTCGTATCGTAACGTTCGTGTTTCTGGTGCGGCCAGTCCCCGGCGAACGATGCAGCACTGAAACGATATGCGGTTTGCCGAAAAGAGGTGAGTTCACGTTATCCACTTTCCTCGCCGACGCGAATCTTCGTCGCCGCCGTGCTCGTCGTCTCTCGCACGACCGTCCGTCCGTCTTTCGCGTTCCACAATAAACATAGATTAAGGTCGATACGCTTGACCGTGTCATGTACGCACGGATATAAAGGTTATAATTACTTACGGTTTAAATGTTTCATAGGATCTCGATCAGAGACGCCGGAGAGAAAATTCGTATATCGATTATATCGCGACGATCGGTTCTCGCACGGTTCCGTTGGGTTACGAACCGATTCGAATGGCCGGGCGGCAGAATCAAACGGTTTGCGCCCGAGAAACTTGTTTGCGCGGAGCACGGGCTCGCGAGCCGCGTGTTTATTTCATTATTTATTCGAGCGTACCGCAATCACGGCGCATATATTTATAATTAATATAATAATATATTTATATAATTAAAATTATATTATATTATATATTATATTAATATTATATTATATTATATTATATTATATTATATTATATTATATTATATTATATTATATATTATATATTATATTAATATTATATTATTATATGATATAATAATATATTTATATAATCAATATAATAATATATTTCGAATGCGAAGCGTTCAGAATTTAAATGTGGATTGTCGCCAGACCAAGGTGAACCGAACGTTTATTTGATCTTCGAACTTCCAATACACTTCCTGAGAATACTATAAGGCACTTACATAGGAGCCTATCAATTTATGTTGTGAAGAATAATTTATACTTATTATGTATACGTATAGTGTTATTGTTTATACCATAAGAAGTTATTACAGAAATAATTTACAAAATAAATATAAGAATAAAAATGATAACAATGAAGTTGATCACACACTGGAAATATCTATTGTATATAACTATAAGATTGTAAAATAATTATAAGACATGCAATGTTTTATTTTTTTTTACAAAAACTGAATGCAAATTAACTTATCGTTAATATTCTCTACAGGACTCTTAACGGTTCTTTTAATAGAGATCGATGATCATTTTTCATTGCCTTATTCCAAACGTTTATTTGAATTTCTAACCTCTAGTAGGCGTTACGCACAATCCATTCTTGGATTGCGAGACATTTTTGGGACACCCTGTAGACAATTTTGGAAGAGGAGATACGATTATTCCAGCTTTGCAGCTCGTTTTCATAGTTCTTGACAATCGATAACCATAAGAAACAAGCCACAAGGCTCGAACAATCGTATCTCCTCTTTCAAAATTGTCCATTTTTTTTTTGCAAAATCTGAGCGTCAGTTAGGGAGACATTACTGTAATTGGAACTTCTCATCTGAAAGACTCCCTTAAGAGCGTAGAATCATTACAGAAGAATCGAAACTTCAAAGCAGTCAACATAATCAGTATAAATAAGTATAAGAATAAGACTAAGTATAATAAATCAAAATAATAGAAAATTTCGGATTGCGAGATATTTTTGGGACACCCTGTATAATGCAGAAATATTTCGAAGTTCGGCCAGTCGTTTAACTTCGCCCAGGACGGACAGATTTTCTACGTACAGTAATGTCTCTCTAATTGACGCTCAGATTGTCCACAAAAATGGACAATTCGAGAAAGAGGGGATACGATTATTCGAGCCTTGCAGCTCCTTTTTATAATCATGGACAATTTATAACTATAAAAATAAACCGCAAGACTCGAATTCGCAACGCTCCTCTTCCCAAATAGTCCATTTTTGTGGACAATCTATGCGTCAATAAGGGAGACATTACTGTACAGTAATATTATTATTTTAGAGTACAATATCTCCCTAATTGACGCTCAGCTTGGGAAACAAAAATGGACAATTCGGGAAGAGGGGATACGATTATTCGAGCCTCGCGGCTCGTTTTTATAATTGTGGCCACTTTATAACTATAAAAATAAACCGCAAGACTCGAATTCGCAACGCTCCTCTTCCCAAATAGTCCATTTTTGTGGACAATCTATGCGTCAATAAGGGAGACATTACTGTACAGTAATATTATTATTAGAGTACAATATCTCCCTAATTGACGCTCAGCTTGGGGAAACAAAAATGGACAATTCGGGAAGAGGGGATACGATTATACGAGCCTTGCAGCTCGTTTTTACAATTGTGGACAATTTATAACTATAAAAATAAACCGCAAGGTTCGAATAATCGTATCTCCTCTTCCCAAATTGTCCATTTTTCTGCAGAATCTGAGTTAGGGAGACATTACTGTATACGTTCACGGTGCACGTTCACGCGGTAGCCGTGTATTTAAATGTTTCGTGCGCACACTTTTTCTCGCATTATGGAGCGCCTAGCACAAGGCAGGTGGTAAAACACGTGGCATGCGTAGAGAGAACATGCACCGGTCCCCGTGTTTTTCTTTCCTCGTCTTTTTTCGTCTTTCGGTCACCGGCGTACACCATTCTCTTTTCAGCCGCCGCGATTTCCTCTCGCTCGCGCATATGTTATATACCTTCTGTGTTCATATTACACGGCGCGCAGCCAGAAAGAAAGCGCGTTGCACCCGTAGGTAGGTAGGTTCTCACCCTAGAACGCAATTTACATCGGTGCCACACGAAAGAGAATAGACGCGATCTTTTTCACTCGTCCTCGGCTATTCACGCGCGTCTCGTTACAGTTCCTGAATTCACTATAAACAATGCCGCGAGGTTATTAACCCTGGCGCGCTGTATTTTGCGACGGCGAAATGTCATTTCGACGTTCCGTTTCGTTGTCCCGCGTTTCGAACGCGCAAAAAGCTGCTCCAAAATATTTACTAAAACACCTTCTCGGCTGGCCGGTGTGTGTCTGTTTCCATCGGAACGATCGCGAAAACCCCCTTCGTCCCGCGTTCGTCGCAACCTTCGACTGCTTCGAAGTCCGTCCGAAATTTTGTTTAAACCGTTAACCCTTTGCGCTCGAGTGGCGACTCTGAGGCGCCGCTAAAAATTGCTATACTATTTTTCAAAATGATTGCAATAGAATCAGACTCGTTTATTTCTAAAAGACTGTTAACCCTTTGCGCTCGAGTGGCGACTCTGAGGCGCCGCTAAAAATTGCTATACTATTTTTCAAAATGATTGCAATAGTATCAGACTCGTTTATTTCTAAAAGACTGTTAACCCTTTGCACTCGAGTGGTGACTCTGAGGCGCCACTAAAAATTGCTATACTATTTTTCAAAATGATTGCAATAGAATCAGACTCGTTTATTTCTAAAAGACTGTTAACCCTTTGCACTCGAGTGGTGACTCTGAGGCACCATTAAAAAATTGTTATATCACGTTCCAAGATAATTTTTATATTATAAAAGTCTAGACGTAAAAAAATTGTTAAAAGTCTAACTGTTGTACGAGTCGCAAGACTATAAATTTCATATGCATAAAATGCCCTTTGTCGCATAAAATGGAAATACCATAAGTCAGAAAAATTAATTTAAACCTACAGTTAAAATGGCTTCGAGTGCAAAGGGTTAGAATTGCAAGTTTCGTACTTGCCAATAGGCTTTCGGATGCATAAATCGCGATAAATCATATAAAATAAAAACACCGTGAATCAAAAAAATATGTTTAAAATATAATTAAAATAGCTTCGAGTGCAAAGGGTTAATTTCATGGATCGAAGTGCATTTTATGCATATGAAATTTATAGTCTTGCGACACGTAGTGTCACAGTTAGACTTTTAACAATTTCTTTTACGTCTAGACTTTTATAATATAAAAATTATCTTGAAACGTGATACAACAATTTTTTTTAATGAGTCACCGCTCGAGTGCAAAGGGTTAATTTTATGGATCGAAGGA